TGCATTACTCATGATGAAAAGTTATTCTAATCTGCTTACCGGCTCATCCAGAATTACTAACTTCGGATCACCAATAAGAGCTATTGCAACACTCAGGCGACGCTTCATTCCTCCACTGTAACTCCCAGCTCTTACTTTGGCTGCCTTAGTGAGCCTCACTTCTGCTAATGAATTCTCAGTAACCTGTATTTGAGTTGAAACATTTGTCTTGATAAAAATGACAGAGCAAAGAGTCATTTATGCATAAATGAGCTCATCAAGCAGGGGCATCATTAGTTAATACTATGAACATCTTCAAGGGTAATGTAGATAGACAGTTATCGGGATCTCAAGGCACATTTGGAGTCTTCATTTATATGACCAGAAAAGTAGCTTGCAGGTTTGCAAAGCACATACCGATTTGATTGAATCAGGAGGTAGGCTTTGATACTAGCAAAGAGAGGAGGTGCTCTTCACCAGATAATGCATTCCAAAGAATATCAAACTTTGAAGACAAAAGTTCAAACAAAGGTTAGCTTCATATTGATTTTGAAAGTCACAAATGTGGAAATCATGCCCAACTGTTGTCGAAAACAAGCATATTACTGAGAAAGACAGAGAATCACCTGGGGACAAACGCCTATTATTTTCCGAATCTTTGACATGCCAACTGAGTTTCCAATGGAATTCCCATAATCAGTGCTGATAATAAACCAGATTTTATTGTAACTTCCACTTCAAGTCATATTAAACGTAATTGAAATGTGCATTGACAAAAACACAACACACATTAGACAAGATTTTTACCATCTGCCAGTCACTGGCGTTATGCCAGTCAAACAGCTGATTGTGGTAGTTTTTCCAGCAACCATTGGGTCCAAGAAGACAAAATAACTGATCCTTGCAATGTTTACCATAAACCCTGACGGATAATAAGAAAATAAGCAATGGTTTTAATTTCATGGAAGTCACCAATAATATAAATTTGTACCCCAGTGTCATCTTTCACATTATAGTGACATTTGATAACTCATGACCAAAGAAAAAGGAAATTTGATTGTGATAACATCTAAGAAGAACAAAATACTGTCATCAGAAAAAAAAAAAAAAAAAAAAGTGTCCTTCCATCCATTTAAATTCCATTGATTCAGCGGAGGACCCTTATGGCCAACAACCAAATGAATAAATGTTGGGAGAAATACTGCTTCAATCAATTATACCAAAAACATTAATGAAATATAATTTGAAGGAAGTTATGTAAAAACAAAAAACAAGTGCATTAACAATATTGATATTTAAGAAGAATCTCCTCCATGGAAGCAATACAGCGGTATGTCCAACTAGAATAAATGTCTTTCTTCTACCTTCTCAAGTTAAGATTATCACTTAAAAAGTCATTCTTACCTAACAGCATGGAAAGGTGAAGTCTTCTTGCTTTACAGCAACCTATGTTCCTCGTCCAGGATATGTCTTTACAAGGCCACGTATTTGAACTGCCACATTTGGCTCAACACCTTCCCTACTTGTTTTTAACAATGTTTTCCTCTCAAGAACATCTTCGTCATCTGGAGTAATATGTTCCAATGGAGGGACTGAACCGATACAACTACAAATGCCACCCTCTTGAAGGGAAGACAAAATAGCAATTTCATAATATTAGCCAACTTTATTACCTAAATATAAATAACATAGCCAACAAGAACTGATAGCATAGATTTAATTCTAAACTTGGTTACCTTCGGGCTGCTTCCACCTTTCCCTGTCCAAACAGGGGTTTAAAAAGTAAAACATTGATTTCCTCACACCAGCTTCATTTGCAATACATTATCGAGGTAGATAGCCAATAAAACCATGCAAAAAATGTTGCCAAAAGCCACATGTAGATATCATTCTGTCAAGAACATGAAAAACCACAAATATGAGATGTAATGTCAGTTAATCAGCTTTTTAAGTGAGAGAATAAAATAAATATAGGATAAAAGTTTGAAAAGATTAACGGAGTAGCAATCAAAGAAGAGATGATTTCTTTGCAGATGTAGAGTGAACTATCATGAATTTTAGGATTTTGAGCTTCAAAATTACACAATTGTTATCACACACTCTGTGTCATTTGGTGCACATTGCCCGTCTACTCCAACTTATCCCAATATCTCCAGGTGAGGAAGTTGATCAGCAAGCAGCTTTAGGGCTTCGGCAAGAAGATTAGGTGGGAACAATGACCATATGATTCTATATGTATTAGAAAATTGTTCAGAGTAGGGGAAACCAGAAATTGAACCACCTGTAATGACAAATGAAGACCTATAAGCACAAGACATGTAACTAAAATTCAAGAAATTAGCAGGGAACCTTGCCTGAGTCAAAGAGCCAACTATAAATGGAGAAACCCACTGTTGTGGATGTGACGACTTGCTAATCAAGGATGAAAACATGAAGGCGTAGCCAGTCTAGCATAAGAATCAAAAGAATAGATCAAAGTTTAAAATGTTAAGTATTGTCTGCTCAGTGCGAAAAGAACTCATGAAAAGGGTTTGTAAGGATTGTTCAGGAATGTGCTTACCATATTAAGTTCAAAAAGGAAGAACAAAAGAACAAGACAGCAAAACCATTGTTCAAGAAAAAATCAAATTGGAACATCATTCCAAAAAGAACTATGAAGAGTGATGAAAGAGCGTAATAATTCCCTCCATGATAGCCATGATAACCAGTAGGCAGAATCATAAAGACCCATCATAGTCATGCCTGTTGAAAAACATAAGAAATCATATGGAAATATGAATAATTTTTCAGGGAAGCAGAAATGCTAATCCTAATAAACTTCAAAACATAGACTTTCATACCTGGCGAAGTTGAGCCTTTCTCAGTGACCAAAGAACCAATTTGAAACACCAAACCAAACATAGCAGCTGCAAGAAAAAGCTTGGTCCTATTGAACCTACTACATTGAAAAGCTCCCTTGCAGGAGAGCAAATTCCTTGAGCCCTACAACCCAGCTAAAGCTTGATCTGAACATGCCGGGATCACAAAAATGAAAATTTATTAGTGACCTAACTAGTTAAAAGAAAAAAAAAGTTGGAAGTGTTTAGAATATAGCAAACAATACTATACCTCCAATCATCGACCTGGCAATTTCGCGCTCAGCAGCAATCTGAAGTGGGATTTGAAACTTGAACGTGGGATCTTCATAAAGCCCCCGCCTTGCAACTGAAGTAGAATTAGTCTGTATGCCATAACTTATAACAGTAGCATTTCTATCCACAAAATGCAGGGCTCCTGGGCACCTCAGAGGATTATCAAAAAGCCATTCATCAACTTCAGTTTTCGTTCTAAAAGAAATAACCTGCACCAGACATTCATAGACACAATTTTAATAAATTTTTAACTCGCCAACAAACTTAAATCATACCTCATTTTATTTACCCTTGAAACAAACCACATGAATTTTTTCTACGAAAGAATTGAAAAATCCTCAAACATTTTACATACAGTTCTTTAATCAACAAAAGAACAAAATTTGGCTTAGTTAAATTTCACATCTTGGGATTAAAAAGAGACCCTTTTTTTTTTTCTCATAAACCAAACACAACTTAATCTGAACATATGGGATGATGACAATGTTATAAAATTAGAAAGTTTTGTACCTTATTTGAAGGAATAGCTCTACCGGGATTATTCTTCATAATGGCGCTAACAATTCTCTGAACTCTAACGCTATCATTGCCGCTCCACACAAAGTCAATACACGGTAAGTTCACGTAGAATTTGTCTTCACAAGGGAGGATAGACGGAGAGACTAAAGGTTTTGGGTCCCGAACAGTGCTGTACTCAGTGGAGGAGGAGAAGCGAGCGTCCATAGCCAGCTTAATTATAAACATGAGCAAGATGAAGAAGAGAGAAGAAAATAGTTGGAGAAACGTAGCAGTCTTGTGTTTCCATGAAAGCAGGAAATTTTTCTTGAACAATGCCTTGAATTGTTGAAAAAATAGAGGAAATCCTGTTAGCGTGCTCATGGTAAATGGGTTACTCTTGGTGGGTTTTGGTTTGGTTTGGTTTTTATAAGTATATTGGCATTAAAAGAGCGGGGATTTAGCTTTGGGTGTGTTCTTGTTCCGTTTTCTGGTAACGAAAAGTAAAATTTGTTGAAATGGGATGAAATGAAATGGCTACTCAAGGGTCAAGTCAAATATGTCAGAAAATATCCTAGTTTGCAAATTATGGAATCTGATAGGTGCTGTCCGGCCGAATTTTCCATGAAATGATTGGATAACAGTATGTACAGAATAGAACCAGAAGGGCAATTCGGTCAATTGAGAAGGGCAGATTCGTGTTTTGAGGAAATAATGAGAGAGGAATAAGTCAAAGAACAGCAAACAATTCTGGCATTGTCTTACCAGACCAACCTTTGATTTGCATTTAAATATAAAAGAAATGAATGAATCCCTGTTTCGTTTAAAATACATTGAAGGTTGAGTTTCCAGAATTAAGAGACTAATCAAAGAAGATAATTAAAACAGAACAGTAAATGGCAGGGCAGCTTCCTTGCATTTGTATATTCATTAACAAAGTCCAGATTTTGACCAAATTAATTAAACATTCTATATGTTGTGTTCTTGGAAGTTGCATGACAGATTTTCTTAATAACTTCGTGCACGACGTGTCAATAAGATAACTCCATTATTCAAACTTCAAAATGTTGACTTCAAATTAGTTATATTTTCTTAACGTTCAGACTGTAATCCATGTCCCATTTTGTCTGAATTGCCTCTACTTTCCGTTGGCTTTGTCTGCTTTTGTAATCAACCATGAATCTTAGCTTTCTTCGGGCTCAAGGCATGTAATATACCATGATACTCCTACTGGTAATGGTATATTTTAATCTTTAAAGATCTTCATCTGACGGATATAAAATCTTTGACTATTTCTGGCTTCTTCAATGCTACTAAAAGTCAACAAAAGGGTACTATAGTCATTGTGTCAAGGGCATTCTCGGTATCCAATCTCTATGAATCGACGTCACTAATTTTCTTTGTTTGACCCAAAACGACACGCATTAGAAGGTGAAGCTGTCCATGTGGCTTCATTTTACGGTTACGCTCATAAGAAAAGACGGCCGATTCTTAACGACTCTCAACACTGAAGAACCAAAATACATTTGGCGGGCAATTTCGATCCTTCGTCGGAGAGTGTTTTTAAGTTCAAATATTTCAGAGTAACGTCAATGGCGGCCGGTTTCGGCACTCAGGCCAATGCTTTACTCAGAAAGAACTTAACTTTCCAGGTTTATTCTCTCTCTGTCCAATAAGATCTCCGTCTGCTGTATTTCTAATTGGTTTTCTTCGCATTTTGTTTTCTTTCGTTCAAAAAAAAAAAAGCTTCTTTTCAAAATTATTTCTATTTGATGAAGTTACTTCATTTTGGCATTTTTCAGCTATGTGGGACAATTTTGAATTTTGTGATTTTGGGTTTGTTTCGCAGAGATATATTGAATATATAAATATATTTTTTTTGGGTATGGTAATTGGTGGCCACCCCTTGCCCTTGCTACAACTTGACCCCTTTTAACTCCTCAATCCATCCTTCACTCCATAGGCCACAAGGGTGGTTTATATTGAATATTCTGGTTCGTAATGTTGGAGAAATTCTATTTTATTTGAATTTGTTTCTTTTTCTTTTTCTTTTTCTTTTTCTTTTTCTTTTTTTGCTGGGGTCAATTGGTTTGGCATATAGCTAGAACCAAATTTTCAGTTTCCTAATCTTTTATGCTCACACTGTATCTCTGGCTTGATAAGTGATAAATGTTTTAGTTGATTTTCGTCTGCCAGATTTGTAATTTTATTTGCATTTTCGTTTCTCTGTGAAATTAAAAATGGATAAATTGTAGCTGAGATTGTTATGCTCTGATGTGAACAGAGTTGAAGTGAAATTTAGGGTCTCTGCAAACTAGGTTAAAGTGAACGTATCTGATAATGTTATGTCTGTTCTCTGTTTTGCAGAAACGAAATGTGAAGGCGAATATTCGACTTGTTGCCTTTCCTATTGTCCTCTGCCTATTAATTTTGGCCATCCAAATTCTTCTTGATAAGGTAGTAAGCAATAACGATGACAATAAGTGTGGTTGTATTTGTGTCAGAAGAAATGGAGATGAATGTGAAGAGGAAAGATGTGGGATAGAGCACTCAAATTTGAATCAAGCAGTTTTTTGTCGCATTCCTAATCCTCCAGAATGGCCACCATTATTACAGATACCAGCACCTGAATATCGTGCCGTGAGAAACGATTTTATGACATTTACAGACTTGCCAAATGAATCATGCAAAATTAATGGTTCCTGTCCAGCGATTTTCCTTCTAACTGGAAACAATCGTTCTTTTGGAGAAAGTATGACCCTCTCTCCTATTTCTTTGTTTCGCATTAGTTAGAATTTTTACAATTCCATTTTCTCACTTTTATGTTTTTTAACTTGATTGTAAACTTTAACAGTATTGGGTGAGAATATGTTGCCGAACACTTTTAGTATAAATCCCTCAAATCTTATAGGTAGTTTGGCCAGCAATGTCGCAGTAAGTTGTTTTTCCTGCCCTTTTTCTTAATGCTGTTTGGAATTTTTTTTTAATATTACCTTTTACTTTTGTTCTTGGTATCAACATTGTATCAAGCATCATTCTCTTGATTACAGTTTAAGCCTTGCGGCTAATGCGGTATTTAAAAAATGTCTCAGGGGTCAGAATCGGAGCCGGGTACAAGTCAATTTCTTGATTCTGCTTTTTTTTTCGGATCTTCCAATATATAGTGTTCAAAGTCGGTGCACATCAAATTCTACTATTTCTGCTCGAGTTCAGTTGTCTTCCATTAATATTACACAAGGTATCTGTTTTGTACCCTTGGATAATTTCTTTTGAATATGATGCCCCAAAAATCCTTCAATTTCTAGTAAAATATAAGTCGTCAAGTACGTTGTTCCATGAACGTGAAAAGAATGTTGACTTCACATGAGAATGAATTTGGAGAATGTTACAGATTTTGACATGGCAAAGAAACAAGAAGGTTTCTATCTTCATGAGTTCAGGGAAAGCTCCATCTCCTTATTCATTTAGTGGTTGAATTGCTGTGAGCCATTCTGATTTCCTAATCAAGAATAAAGCAGTACCTTACAAGGCAATTAGATTATTATACAGCTTCAACCATCCAATTGCATTACGATGTTAAAAAGAAATCAATGTGTCTGAGAAAAGAAGGAATGCACCCATTATTGTAAATTTCTGATTATTTATCATTCTTCCTTGATCTAGAGATAAGATGTCTGCAAGGTTTAAATCTGTGGCGCACTAGCTCTTCAGAGATAAATGATGAGATATATAAAGGTTATTTGAAAGGGAACTCGGAAGAAAAGATTAATGAGATAATTGCAGGTTAGTGTACTGGGTTTTCTTATTTGGGATTTTATATGGTTAATATAGTAATATAGAAAATACTTGTGCTTTGACTTCTCTGCAGCCTATGATTTCTTAAACTCTGACCTGAATAAATTTAACATGAGCATCTGGTACAATTCGACATGGAATTCTCCTAGTAGATTGGTGCGGGTACCACGCTTGGTTAATCTGGTATGTATAGAAAATTGTATAATAATTGAGATTTTATTTCTAGTTATGCATTTCTTGTTTCTAATCATTTTTTTGTGATTCCTTCATTAGGCTTGCATTATGAGAATTTATTATATATATAAACTCTTCAAGAATTCTTAAGAACAGACTCCAGTGTTGTGTTCTGAAAATATATATAAAATAAATGAACCAGATTCTTTGATAAATTGAAAATTTAAGAATAAAATACTATGCCCAACCTTCTTATGGGATGTTTAATTTTGTTAACCTTTTTCCTTTCACTTTCATTTTTGAACCAATTAACTACTTAATTTTTTTTTTTCTTGCTAAGGGCATGGTGACTATTATAATTTTGTTTCTTATAATTTAAAATGCAATAAGTATTATTTATCAACTTTGCGGAGGATCACCCTTTTCCATTACATTTAACTCTAGCTTTTCACCTGTCATGGATTTTGTTTTACATATGATCATAATTAACAGGGCTGCCTCAGTAACAATACTGCACCATAATTGTATTTTGCTTTTCTTCTTCTTCTGCTATTCCCACTTTCAGGGTTCAGATTATTTTATATTCTTCTATTTGTTTGCGTGAAACAATAAAACATAATATGCACTGATATGTAAGATTCTTGTATTCTAGGTATCGAATGCCTACCTTCGCGCTCTGCTAGGGCCTAGTGCACAAATGCTATTTGAATTTGTCAAAGAAATGCCCAAAACTGAAACCCAGCAAATGGTGGATTTGTCATCTATTATTGGCACACTGTTCTTTACATGGGTTGTCCTACAGCTATTCCCTGTAAGTATGAAACAGTTAATTTGTATAAAGACCATAACTAAATAAAGATTTTTCTGAGTAATCACACTTGATTATAAATGTTAAAGCAATTTGATGATCCTTTCTGTGTAGTGATGATTGATGAATCATAGTTAGATGCCATATCAGAAGCAGTGTAATACATCCCCATATAAAAATACTTCAAATGAATGTATCTAGTTAGAATTGTTCTTTTAAGTTATCATTTTACCAAAAAGCTTAACTTGATAGTTAATAAATCTATTAATATTTAAACTCTAGCATGCCCCTCAAGTTTGTAAGGCATGTGGATCCATACAACTCACGTATGATGACAACACAAACATAATTATAATTCAGTTAATAGGAAGGAATTCAAACATAAGACCACTTGGTCAACCTGGCTTTGATATCATTCTTACTTACCACTAAAGTTAGAGGCTTAAGCTTCATAAGTAGGGGCTCAACAAGAGAATTTAAACTTATGAGGATCTCAGTTTTACAGCTGTTTACATGCCAAAGAAGTTAAATTCAGTTACATCATCTCATAGGTGTTAATAATGTTGTATCTGATATTTTCTTTCCAGTAGGTGGTCTTGACAACTTTGGTATATGAGAAACAGCAGAAACTGAGAATTATGATGAAAATGCATGGACTGGGTGATGGACCTTATTGGATGATTTCATATGCTTATTTTTTTGCCATATCTGCAGCGTACATGCTATGTTTTGTGATATTTGGCTCAGTCATAGGTAATGATCCAGCTAGCAATTATATATTTTGTTTCATCTTTGAATCAACTTAATTTCATGTGATTCATTTGCAGGTTTGAGATTCTTCACACTCAATTCATACAGCATCCAGTTTGTGTTTTATTTTATCTATATAAACCTGCAAATTTCTCTGGCCTTTCTATTAGCTGTGCTGTTCTCAAATGTGAAGACCGCTGCAGGTTTGCTGCAAACTTTTTTATATATTACAGTAGGGGTTAAATTCCCACATTTTTGTTGTTAATCTGTGAACCAATTTTCATTCTGTGAATGAAAATTTGAATGAGTGCAGTTGTCGGATACATATGCATTTTTGGAACTGGCCTCTTGGGTTCCTTTCTTTTTCAGCGGCTAATTTGGTACATTGAGAAGGCGATTCGTGTTTTGAGGAAATAATGAGAGGAATAAGTCAAAGAACAGCAAAAATTCTGGCATTTGTCTTACCAGACCACCTTTGATTTGCATTTAAATATAAAGAAATGAATGAATCCCTGTTTCGTTTAAAATCCTTGAAGGTTGAGTTTCCAGAATTAAGAGACTAATCAAAGAAATAATTAAAAAAGAACAGTAAATGGGGCAGCTTCCTTGCATTTGTATATTGCATTAACAAGTCCAGATTTTGACCAAATTATTAAACATTCTATATTGTTGTTCTTGGAAGTTGCATGACAGATTTTCTTAATAACTTCGTGCACGACGTGTCAATAAGATACTCCTTATTCAAACTTCAAAATGTGGACTTCAAATTAGTTATATTTTCTTAACGTTCAGATTGTAATCCTGTCCCATTTTGTCTGAATTGCCTCTACTTCCCTTGGCTTTGCTGCTTTTGTAATCAACCATGAATCTTAGCTTTCTTCGGGCTCAAGGCATGTAATATACCATGATACTCCTACTGGTAAGGTATATTTTAATCTTTAAAGATCTTCATCTGACGGATAACAATCTTTGACTATTTCTGACTTTCTTCAATGTTACTAAAGTCAACAAGCAAAGTACTATAGTCATTGTGTCAGGGCATTCTCGGTATCCATTCTCTATGAATCGACGTCACTAATTTTCTTTGTTTGACCCAAACGACACGCATTAGAAGGTGAAGCTGTCCATGTGGCTTCATTTAACGGTTACGCTAAGAAAGACGCCGATTCTTACGACTCTCAACACTGAGAACCAAAATACATTTGGCGGGCAATTTCGATCCTTCGTCGGAGAGTGCTTTTAAGTTCAATATTTCAGAGTAACTCAATGGCGGCCGGTTTCGGCACTCAGGCCATTGCTTTACTCAGAAAGAACTTAACTTTCCAGGTTTATTCTCTCTCTGTCCATGATTCCGTCTGCTGTATTTCTAATTGGTTTTTCTCTCGCATTTTGTTTTTCTTCTCGTTCAAAAAAAAAGCTTCTTTTCAAAATTATTTCTATTGAGTGAAGTTACTTCATTTTGGCATTTTTCAGCTATGTGGGACAATTTTGAATTTTGTGATTTTGGGTTTGTTTCGCAGAGATAATTAATATATAATATATTTTTTTTTGGGTATGGTAATTGGTGGCCACCCTCCCTTGCTCCAAACTTGACCCCTTTTAACTCCTCAATCTCCATAGGCCACAAGGGTGGTTTATATTGAATATTCTGGTTCGTAATGTTGGAGAAATTCTATTTTATTTGAATTTTTTCTTTTTCTTTTTCTTTTTTTTTTTCTTTTTCGTTTTTTGGGGCTGGGACCTGGGTCAATTGGTTTGGCATATAGCATAACCAAATTTTCATTTCTTAATCTTATGCTCACACTGTATCTCTGGCTTGATAAGTGATAATGTTTTAGTTATTTTCGTCTGCCAGATTTGTAATTTTATTTGCATTTTGTTTCTTCTGAAATAAAAATGGAAAATTGTAGCGAGATTGTTTGTCTGATGGAACGAGTTGAAGTGAAATTTAGGGTCTCTGCAGAACTGGTTAAGTGACATATCTGATAAGTTATGTCTGTTCTCTTTTTGCAGAAACGAAATGTGAAGGCGATATTCGACTTGTTGCCTTTCCTATTGTCCTCTGTCTACTATTTTGGCCCTCCAAATTTTTTTGATAAGGTAGTAAACATAACGATGACAATAAGTGTGGTTGTATTTGTGTCAGAAGAAATGGAGATGAATGTGAAGGGAAGATGTGGGATAGACTCAAATTTGATCAAGCAGTTTTTTGTCCCATTCCTATCCTCCAGAATGGCCCCATTATACAGATACCAGCCCTGAATATCGTGCGTGGAAAATTTTATGACATTTACAGACTTGCCAAAGTGAATATGCAAATTAATGTTCCTGTCCAGCGATTTCCTTCTAACTGAAACAATCGTTCTTTTGGAGAAAGTATACCCTCTCTCTCTATTTCTTTTTCTGTTCCGCATTAGTTAGAATTTTTACAATTATTTCCATCTTCTTTTATCTTTTAGTTTTTTAACTTGATGTAAACTTTAACAGTATTGGGTGAGAATATGTTGCCGAACACTTTTAGTATAAATCCCTCCAATCTTATAGGTGTTTGGCCAGCATGTCCAGTAAGTTGTTTTTTCCGCCCTTTTTCTTTTTGTTTGTTTTTTAATCTTTTATTACTCTTACTTTTTGTTAATGTATCAGCATCATTCTCTTGATTCAGTTTAAGCTTGCGGCTAATGTGGTATTATAAAATGTCTCAGGGTCAGAATCGAGCCGACAAGTCATTTCTTGATTCTGCTTTTTTTTCGGATCTTCCAATTATAGTGTTCAAAGTCGGTGTGCATCATTCTACATTCTGCTCGATTCAGTTGTCTCCATTAATATTACACAAGGTATCTGTTTTGTACCCTTGGATAATTTCTTTTGAATATGATCCGCCCAAAAATCCTTCAATTTCTAGTAAAATATAGTTGTCAAGTAGTGTTTCCAGAGTGAAGAATGTTGACTTCAATGAGAATGAATTTGGAGATGTTACAGATTTTGACATGGCAAAGAAAGAAGGTTTCTATCTTCATAGTTCAGGGAAGTTCCCTACTTATTCATTTAGTGGTTGAATTGCTGTGAGCCATCTGCCTCTTACAATCAAGAATAAAGCAGTACCTGTACAGGCAATTAATTACTATACAACTTCAACAATCCGGGATGAGCAAATTCCTTGAGCCCTACAACCCAGATAAAGTTTGGATCTGAACATGCCCGGGATCACAAAAATGATAAAATTTAGTGACCTAACTAGTTAAAAAGAAAGAAAATAAAAAAAAGTTGGAAGTGTTTAGAATATAGCAAACAATACTATACCTCCAATCATCGACCTGGCAATTTCGCGCTCAGCGGCAATCTGAAGTGGTATTTGAAACTTGAATGTGGGATCTTCATGAAGCCCTCGCCTTTCAGCTGAAGTAGAATTAGTCTGTATGCCATAACTTATAACAGTGGCATTTCTATCCACAAAATGCAGAGCTCCGGGGCACCTCAGAGGATTATCAAAAAGCCATTCATCAACTTCAGCTTTCGTTCTAAAAGACATAACCTGCACCAGACATGCATAGACACAATTTAAAAAAAAAAAAAAAATTAACTAATCAACAAAGTTAAATCAAACCTCATTTTATTTACCCTTGAAACAAACCACATAAATATTTTCTACAAAAGAATTGAACAAATCCTCAAACGTTTTATATATAGTTCTTTAATCAACAAAAGAACAAAATTTGGCTTGGTTAAATTTCACAACTCGGGATTAAAAAGAGACCCCTTTTTTCTTTTTGCTTTTCTCATAAACCAAACACAACTTAATCTAAACATATGGGAATGATGACAATGTTATAATATTAGAAAGTTTTGTACCTTATTTGAAGGAATAGCTCTACCGGGATTATTCTGCATAATGGCGCTAACAATTCTCTGAACTCTAACGCTATCATTGCCGCTCCACACAAAGTCAATACACGGTAAGTTCACGTAGAACTTGTCCTCACAAGGGGGGATAGACGGAGAGACTAAAGGTTTCGGGTCCCGAAGAGCGCTGTACTCAGTGGAAGAGGAGAAGAGAGCGTCCACAGCCAGCTTAATTATGAACATGAGCAAGATGAACAAGAGAGAAGAAAATAGTTGGATAAACGTAGCAGTCTTGTGTTTCCATGACAGCAGGAAGTTTTTCTTGAACAATGCCTTGAATTGTTGAAAAAATAGAGGAAATCCTGTTAGCGTACTCATGGTAAATGGATTACTCTTGGTGGGTTTTGGTTTGGTTTTTATACGTATATTGGCATTAAAAGAGAGCGGCTTTGGGAGTGTTCTTGTTCAGTAATCAGTGAGTGAAATTTGTTGGAATGGGATGAAATGTAATGGCTACTCAAGTCAACAATGTCAATATTATTTTTAACGAATCAGAAAATAATTATCGTAAATGTTAAATATCTCAATTTCCATTAAATTATTGAATGTGCAAAATAGAACCAGAAGGGCAATAAGGTGTTTTTTTTGTTGGGGTTGGGGGGGGGGGGGGGGGGGGGGGGGGGGGGGGGGGGGGGGTGGTGTGGTTGATGGATAATGAGAAAGGAATAAGTCAAATAAAGGAAATAACGCAGCAAAAGCAAAACAATTCTCACATTCTCTAACTTTGGCTTTGCATTTAATTGAGACTGTGAGTGTAAAAGAAAAGAATGAATGCCTGTTTTGTTTAAAACGAAACCGTCAAGCCCATCTGCAGGTAATAGAGTCCAGATTTTAACCAAATTAATTAAGATTCTATATGTTAAAGTGTTGTTGTTGTCTTGGAAGTTGTAATGATATATGGAAAGATGAACAGGAGTTCCCTTTATAGAATGGGAATATTATGTGACTTTCATAGAAGATTACGTTACCTTTCATAGGAAGATTTTTACATTATGTCATCTATTATGTTACCATACACAGATCTGTAAATCATGGACCTTCCTTAATAAGATAATAAAATAGTGGGGATGACAGTATGCTAACAAATTCCAGATTAATTAAGTGTTCTTGGAAATTGCATGAGACTTCATGCATGACGTGACGTATCATTCCACCCACAATAAAATTATTCTTCATAGAAGATTAGTTACCTTTATAGAGTATTGACATATGTTACCATACATAGTCCTGTAAATCATGGATATTCGAATAAGACACTTACTGACAAGTGTTTTAACTTTCTATTGGCAAATGCCAGCCATCTGTTCTGCAGGCACCTTCCTAATAAGATAATAAATAGTGGGGATGAGATATAGCTAACAAATTCAGATTAATTAAGATCATATGTTATAGTGTTGTGTTCTGGGAAATTGCTTCAGAGATTTGCTTAATAACTTCATGCATGACGTGGACGTATCATTCCTCCCATGATACAAATTTCTATTTGACCAAAAGGACACGCATTAGAAGGTGAAGCTGTGCATGTGCCTTCATTTTACGGTTACGCTCAAAAGAAAGACGCCCAATTCTTAACGTCTCAACAGCACTGAAGAACCAAAATCCATTTGCGGGCAATTTCGATCCTTCTGGAGAGTTTTTAAGTTCAAATATTTAGAGTAACATCAATGGCGGCCGGTTTCGGCAATCAAGCTAATGCTTTACTCAGAAAGAACTTAACTTTCCAGGTCTATTGTCTCTCGTCCAATAAGATTTTGGCTGCTGTATTTCTAATGTGTTTTCTTCGCATTTTTTTTTTCTTCTTTCCATAAAAGAAAAAGCTTCTTTTCAAAATTATTTCTATTTGATGAAGTTAATCATTTGGGATTGGGAGAAATTCTATTTTATTTGAATTTGTTCTTTTTCTTTTTTATCTGGGGTCAATTGGTTTAGCATATAGCTAGAACCAATATTTCAGTTTCTTAATCTTTTATCTCACACTGTATCTCTGGCTTGATAAGTGATAAATGTTATAGTTGATTTTCGTCTGTCAGATTTGTAATTTATTTGCATTTTTGTTTCTCTGTGAAATTAAAAATGGATAAATTGTAGCTGAGATTGTTATGCTCTGATGTGAACAGAGTTGAAGTGAAATTTAGGGTCTCTGCAAACTAGGTTAAAGTGAACGTATCTGATAATGTTATGTCTGTTCTCTGTTTTGCAGAAACGAAATGTGAAGGCGAATATTCGACTTGTTGCCTTTCTATTGTCCTCTGCTATTAATTTTGGCCATCCAAATTTTCTTGATAAGGTAGTAAGCAATAACGATGACAATAAGTGTGGTTGTATTTGTGTCAGAAGAATGGAGATGAATGTGAAGAGAAAGATGTGGGATAGAGCACTCAAATTTGAATCAAGCAGTTTTTGTCGCATTCCTAATCCTCCAGAATGGCCACCATTATTACAGATACCAGCACCTGAATACGTGCCGTGAGAAACGATTTTATGACATTTACAGACTTGCCAAATGAATATGCAAAATTAATGGTTCCTGTCCAGCGATTTCCTTCTAACTGGAAACAATCGTTCTTTGGAGAAAGTATGATCCTCTCTTCTATTTCTTTGTTTGCATTAGTAGAATTTTACAATTCCATTTTCTCACTTTTATGTTTTTTAACTTGATTGTAAACTTTAACAGTATGGGTGAGATATGTTGCCGAACATTTTAGTATAAATCCCTCAAATCTTATAGGTAGTTGGCCAGCAATGTCGCAGTAAGTTGTTTTTCCTGCCCTTTTTCTTAATGCTGTTTGGAATTTTTTTTTAATATTGCTTTTCTTTTGTTCTTGGTATCAACATTGTATCAAGCATCATTCTCTTGATTACAGTTTAAGCCTTGCGGCTAATGCGGTATTTAAAAAATGTCTCAGGGGTCAGAATCGGAGCCGGGTACAAGTCAATTTCTTGATTCTGCTTTTTTTCGGATCTTCCAATATATAGTGTTCAAAGTCGGTGCACATCAAATTCTACTATTCTGCTCGAGTTCAGTTGTCTTCATTAATATTACACAAGGTATCGTTTTGTAGCCTTGGATAATTTTTTTGAATATGATGCCCCAAAAATCCTTCAATTTCTAGTAAAATATAAGTGTCAAGTACGTTGTTCCATGAACGTGAAAAGAATGTTGACTTCACATGAGAATGAATTTGGAGAATGTTACAGATTTTGACATGGCAAAGAAACAAGAAGGTTTCTATCTTCATGAGTTCAGGGAAAGCTCCATCTCTTATTCATTTAGTGGTTGAATTGCTGTGAGCCATTCTGATTTCCTAATCAAGAATAAAGCAGTACCTACAAGGCAATTAGATTATTATACAGCTTCAACCATCCAAGATTACGATGTTAAAAAGAAATCAATGTGTCTGAGAAAAGAAGGAATGCACCCATATGTAAATCGATTATTTATCATTCTTCCTTGATCCAGGATAAGATGTCTGCAAGGTTTAAATCTGTGGCGCACTAGCTCTTCAGAGATAAATGATGAGATATATAAAGGTTATATTGAAAGGGAACTCGGAAGAAAGATTAATGAGATAATTGCAGGTTAGTGTACTGGGTTTTCTTATTGGGATTTATATGGTTAATATAGTAATATAGAAATACTTGTGCTTTGATTTCTTGCAGCCTATGATTTCTTAAACTCTGACCTGAATAAATTTAACATGAGCATCTGGTACAATTCGACATGGAATTCTCCTAGTAGATTGGTGCGGGTACCACGCTTGGTTAATCTGGTATGTATAGAAAATTGTATAATAATAGATTTTATTTCTAGTTATTCATTTCTTGTTTCTATCATTTTGTGATTCCTTCATTAGGCTTGCATTATGAGAATTTTATATATAAACTCTTCAAGAATTCTTAAGAACAGACTCCAGTGTTGTGTTCTGAAAATATATATAAAATAAATGAACCAGATTCTTTGATAAATTGAAAATTTAAGAATAAAATACTATGCCCAACCTTTATGGGATGTTTATTTTGTTAACCTTTTTCCTTTCACTTCATTTTTGAACCAATTAAAACTTAATTTTTTTTCTTGCTAAGGGCATGGTGACTATTATAATTTGTTCTATAATTTAAAATGCAATAAGTTATTTATCAACTTTGCGGAGGATCACCCTTTTCCATTACTTTAACTCTAGCTTTTCACCTGTCATGGATTTGTTTTACATATGATCATAATTAACAGGGCTGCCTAGTAACAATACTGCACCATAATTGTATTTGCTTTTCTCTCTTTTCTATTCCCACTTTCAGGGTTCAGATTATTTTATATTCTTCTATTGTATGCGTGAAACAAAAACATAATATGCACTGATATGTAAGCTTCTGTATTCTAGGTATCGAATGCCTACCTTCGCGCTTGCTAGGGCCTAGTGCACAAATGCTATTGAATTTGTCAAAGAAATGCCCAAAACTGAAACCCAGCAAATGGTGGATTTGTCATCTATTATGGCACACTGTGTCTTACATGGGTTGTCCTACAGCTATTCCCTGTAAGTATGAAACAGTTAATTTGTATAAAGGACCATAACTAAATAAAGATTTTTTGAGTAATCACACTTGATTATAAATGTTAAAGCAATTTGATGATCCTTTCTGTGTAGTGATGATTGATGAATCATAGTTAGATGCCATATCAGAAGCAGTGTAATACATCCCCATATAAAAATACTTCAAATGAATGATCTAGTTAGAATTGTTCTTTTAAGTTATCATTTTACCAAAAAGCTTAACTTGATAGTTAATAAACCTATTAATATTTAAACTCTAGCATGCCCCTCAAGTTTGTAAGGCATGTGGATCCATACAATCACGTATGACGACAACACAAACATAATTATAATTCAGTTAATAGGAAGGAATTCAAACATAAGACCACTTGGTCAACCTGGCTTTGATATCATTCTTACTTACCACTAAAGTTAGAGGCTTAAGCTTCATAAGTGGGGCTCAACAAGAGAATTTAAACTTATGAGGATCTCAGTTTTACAGCTGTTTACATGTCAAAGAAGTTAAATTCAGTTACATCATCTCATAGGTGTTAATAATGTGTATCTGATATTTTCTTTCCAGTAGGTGGTCTTGACAGCTTTGGTATATGAGAAACAGCAGAAACTGAGAATTATGATGAAAATGCATGGACTGGGTGATGGACCTTATTGGATGATTTCATATGCTTATTTTTTTGCCATATCTGCAGCGTACATGCTATGTTTTGTGATATTTGGCTCAGTCATAGGTAATGATCCAGCTAGCAATTATATATTTTGTTTCATCTTTGAATCAACTTAATTTCATGTGATTCATTTGCAGGTTTGAGATTCTTCACACTCAATTCATACAGCATCCATTTTGTGTTTTATTTTATCTACATAAACCTGCAAATTTCTCTGGCCTTTCTATTAGCTGTGCTGTTCTCAAATGTGAAGACCGCTGCAGGTTTGCTGCAAACTTTTTTATATATTACAGTAGTGGTTAAATTCCCACATTTTTGTTGTTAATCTGTGAACTAATTTTCATTCTGTGAATGAAAATTTGAATGAGTGCAGTTGTCGGATACATATGCATTTTTGGAACTGGCCTCTTGGGTTCCTTTCTTTTTCAGGTCTTTGTTCAAGATCAATCATTTCCAAGTAAGTTAAAATGCAAAATGAAGTTATTCTCTCGTTCTTGTTTCTGTTTGTTTGAACATGAAATAGTATCACTCGTCATGTGATTTATTCTCTTTCTGCAGGAGGCTGGATCATTGTAATGGAGTTATATCCTGGCTTTTCTCTTTATCGTGGGTTATATGAATTCGGACAATATTCCTTCAGGGGTCACAACATGGGGATTGATGGTATGAGGTGGGCAGATTTGGCTGACAGTAGAAATGGGATGAGAGAGATCTTGATTATCATGTTGATTGAGTGGTTGTTGGTGCTTGCTATAGCTTATTATATAGATAAAATTGTGTTATCTGGAAGTGCGAAAGGTCCTATGTTTTTCTTGCAAAACTTTAAGAAGAAACCTCATTCATCTACTCAGAGGCCTATTTTGGGAAGGCAGGGATCTAAAGTCTTAGTTGAAATAGACAAACCTGATGTCGTTCAGGAGGTAGCTTTTCTTGTTTCTTGTTGAGTTACTTTATCTCCTTTTACTGGTACAGGTTTCTGAAGAGTGTTGATAAGTGCTTGATATATAGACCAGCAGGTTGGTCTGTAAAAACATTGATTTATCTTTTGCATCCACACAGTGAAACATATTGTCTGAAGTAGTGATCCATCAGAAAAGATTTAAACTATCCACATCTATAAAAGCAAATCCATGATTTTTTTCCCTCTATCCTACAGTATTGTTCCACATCAAATGCTGCTCCCTTAAATATTTGAAACAGAAATTTTGCTGTATCATTTGTCATAGAAGAAGTAATTTGTTGATGCGGCTCTTGAGTGTGGTTCTACTGCTTGTAAATGTTGTGGGGCCTGGTATCAGTAATTAAAATTTTGCTGCTTATTTAACTTATATAAATCTATCAATTTCTTATTATTGGGTCTTCACTGGTGTGATCTGACTCAGTTCTGTCTATAATTCTAATTTTGCTCATCTTTTTACTGTCCAGAGAGAGAAGGTTGAGCAGTTGCTGCTTGAACCAAGCACAAGTTATGCAGTCATCGTTGATAACCTTAGAAAGATATATCCTGGAAGGGATGGTAATCCTGAAAAATTGGCTGTAAAAGGGCTATCTCTTGCTTTACCTTCAGGGGAGTGTTTTGGCATGCTTGGTCCTAATGGCGCTGGCAAAACCTCTTTTATTGGTATGGTAAGTATAATAAACACTTTGTGCTCCCCAAGATAAACATGGCTGAATATTCCCTTTACATACTTTTTGGGACCAAATCAATACAGCGGCAAGGCTCTTAGGACCCAGAAATAAGGAGAAATAAAAATCTTTTGGTTATATTACAGAGCTGTTTACTGTTTAAAACATTCTAGCCACTTACATTGCTTCTAGAAGATGTGTATCTACTTTATTGTGAGAAGTTTTGCTTGTTGTGGACTCTTCTTGCATCCTCAGAAATAAATATTTGCTGTGCTTTATGCAACATTGAAGATTTATTTTTTGTTAACAGATGATTGGGATCACAAAGCCAACCTCTGGAGCAGCATTTGTTCAGGGTTTTGACATACGGACTGAAATGGATACAATATATACCAGCATTGGTGTATGCACTCAGGAAGAGTAAGCTAGAAATCTTTTCCTTCTATGGCAGAAGAATTCTTATTATCCTGTACTCAAATGTTGAAATATTTTGACATTTCATTGTATTTATTGGACAATTTTAGCCTGCTGTGGGAAAACCTAACAGGAAGAGAGCACTTACTATTTTACGGCAGACTTAAGAACCTCGAAGGTTCTGCCTTGAAACAAGTAAGTCAGTTTTATCATTTACTTTTGACCTTTTGTTATTGGATAACTGATACTTGTATCAGGATTTGTAGATAGAATTTTAATATAAACCCTTGGCTTTCTTCTATTTTCTGTGCTTTCCCAATGGAAATTGAATAATTTTAAATAATCTAAAACTATTATGGTTTAGAAACAAGGAGCAGTTATAGTACAGAAAATTTGTACCAAAGAAGTTATTGGGAGTTAATCCGAAAGTAAATCTGCATCTCTTGCATATATTCTGCTCTAGCTGCTCCATCAAAATTCTAACACAAAGTTCAGTCTTATGTTGGAGGTGGGGTGGAGGATGGGAAGAATAATAAGCAATACTTCTTTTGCTAGCAATATTCACCAAGTAAGAACTTTTACTCTCTTCTCTGTTCCTATTTTGTTACCGTAGGCAGTAGAAGAATCCCTCAAGAGTGTCAACCTGTTTCATGGAGGGGTTGCCGACCAAAAAGCTGGGAAATACAGTGGAGGTATGAAGAGGAGGCTGAGTGTAGCCATTTCACTGATAGGGGATCCCAAAGTATGTCACCGTCTCTCTTCAATGTTTTTGTAAGACTGAGAACTCTCAGATAATTGTATCCTACAATGCTACTTTTGGCTAATCCTTCAAAATTTCACAAGGTTGTTTATATGGATGAGCCTAGTACCGGATTGGATCCAGCTTCAAGGAATAATTTATGGACTGTTGTGAAGCGTGCAAAACAAGGCCGCGCAATTATTCTCACCAGTACTCTCTCTCTCTCTCTCTCCCCAACACCCATTTACAATCAATGAAAACATAAGTCTATCTCCCTTTCTTTCTGGTTTATAGTTTCATGGATGCTAGTTTAGGTTGTCTCTCTTTATCATATATGTTGACAGCAGAACTAGAAGATTTTCCCATCAGTATAATTGATAAACTTGCTTGAATGTTTTCCAGCCCATTCTATGGAGGAGGCAGAGGCCCTATGTGACCGATTAGGAATTTTTGTAGATGGCAGCTTGCAATGCATTGGAAACCCAAAAGAGGTAAACTTAAAACAATCTATTGTATCGTGTAGGTACAACTCATAGAATGTAAACGTCTTTTGCATGATGAGCTGACTTACAGAATTGGAGACCTTTTTCAATATGGTTCATTGGTTCTCAAGTTGCAGCTCATTGTTGCATGAAGTTTTATGACACTGAAAATCAACAGTGCCAGTTTATTCCTTAGCACTTGAGCTTACTAGATAGTCTTCTGTATTATTTGAGTAGCAGTTTTCTGCTTTAATGATTAAACAAGTAGTTTCTTCATTCCATGGTACTGACTTCGAAATAATATGGTATTTGACAGTTAAGGGCTAGATATGGAGGATCATATGTGTTCACAATGACAACATCTGCGGATCATGAGGCAGAAGTGGAGAGTATGATAAAACATCTCTCCCCAAGCGCTACTAAGATATACCAAATATCTGGAACCCAAAAATTTGAGCTTCCGAAACATGAAGTTTGGATTGCAGATGTATTCCAAGCTGTTGAGGATGCCAAGCGCAGGTTCACAGTTTTTGCTTGGGGTTTGGCTGATACCACTCTGGAGGATGTCTTCATCAAGGTTGCACGTAGCGCCCAGGCGTTTAACAATCTGCCATGATTTGTCACATAATATTAGATTATTCTTGAACTGCTTCTATAGTGTGGATCGTATATCCGATTTTTGGGATTGACAACATTACTCTAGTGGCTTTTTACATTCTTGAAACTGTATCTAGGTTTGAAAATGTAATAACAAATATGATGGCATATCTTTGTGATTAGTTGCCATTATTTCATCTAGCAATATGTTATGACTCCAAATGGTATTAGGCTTTTTTATTTGATGTTGCCTTTAGGAATAAGGACAGGGCAGCCTTAGTATGAAGGGTGTGCCATCCACTTCATGTTTTCAGTTTTCCTTAAAGTTGTTTTAATAAAGTTAGGGTCAATTAGGTAATCCACCTCACTCCTACTCCAACTTGGAAAAGGAGAATTTTGTATAAATAAGTGTGCAGATTGTAGTAGGGTTCTTATCTTTTTCGGTCAATAAAGGTTTGGCTTCTATGGAGGTAGTTTCCCTCGAAGTAAACTCTTATCACCCCTTTTCTCCATTATTGTTCTGCTGAAGCATTGCAAAAATAGGGAAAATAAACCAGTCCAAGGGCAATCGCAAGTTACGTTCGTTGTGTCAAGTTGACGTGCTTAGCCTATGGGATCAAGCCCTTCCGTTTACGAGATAGTCCAACCGCGTGCACAACAGATTGGTATTAGAGCCAGGCATGGCTGAGCAATGACTAGAGCGACTTGAATCAGAAGTAGGAAGTTTGAAGGTGGAACAGGGAAAGAAGTTTCAGGAGATAATTGACTCTATGCAGGAATTGTTTGCCGCTATGAATACCAAATTGGATCGCGTTAGCCAGGAACAAGAAGGGGCATCGAACAACGTACAAAGTAAGGGCGGGCATTCTAATATTGGGGGTAATTCTGCTAGTACATCAGCGACATTGTAGGTTTAAGCCGAATAGCACAAAGAGAAAGTTGAAAAACAGAGCTCAGAAAAACTTAAGCAAAAAGTTCTATATATTTCATTGAATATATTCAATATAAATCAGTTAACAACTCTCTGTTAATTACACCAACTACAACAGACATTTTCAGCTTTTAAATTCAAATCCAACCACTAATCACTAAGCAACAAATCATCACAAAAACACTCCCATGCACGTTGAACCATTGTTGCATGTAACCTTCAACAGCTTTCCAAACACAAACTTGCAGACTTGAATATTTGATGCATTTCCAGCAAGGTATCACTGCATCAACACGCCTCCTTGATGCCTTTTTTGGAAACACCAAGTTTGAGTCTAAGTTCCTTAAACTTGGCTTTAGGCAAACTTTTAGTCATAATGTCTGCAATTTGGTCCACACCCTGGCAGTGCATCAAGGTCACTTCTCCATTATTTTCAGCCTCCCTCACTACATGAAATTTAATTTTAATATGCTTGGTCCTGCCGTGGAGAACTGGATTCTTTGCCATTGCCACTGCTGATTGATTGTCACACAATATTGGTGTTGGCCTATCTTGTTCCTACTTCAAACCAGACAAGATTTTTCTGAACCAAGCAGCTTGGTTCACAACTGCTGCGGCAGAAATGTACTCTGCCTCTATTGTGGACTGAGCCACCTTGTCTTGTTTCTTTGACAACCAGCTAATGGAACCCTCGTTAATGTAAAACACATACCCTGAGGTACTTTTCATGTCATCTAAAGAACCTCCCCAGTCACTGTCTGTGTATCCCTACAAAACCAGTACTTTTCATGTCATCTAAAGAACCTCCCCAGTCACTGTCTGTGTATCCCTGCAAAACCAGTTTTTCTGCCCTCTTAAACCAAATGCCAAGGTTTGAAGTTCCTTTCACATACCTTAACACCCTCTTTGCTGCCCTATAATGTAATTCACTTGGATAACTCATAAATCTAGAGAGATAGCTAGCTGCAAACATCAGGTCTGGGCGTGTGGCTGTTAAGTACAGCAAGCATCCCACCAGACCTCTAAACATACTGTCATCCACTCTTTTCTCACCATCATTCTTGCTCAGCTTCAGGTTAGAGACTAAGGGTGTATTTGTAGGCTTGGAATTCTCCATTCCAAATTTTACAAGAACCTCATTTGCATATTTCTCTTGGCACACAAGGATTCTGCTTTTAGATTGAAAAATCTGCATACCAAGGAAGTATGTCATCTCCCCCAAATCTGTCATCTCAAATTCAGATTGCACGGACTGTTTGAACTTATTCAACTAGTCTGGATTACTCTCTGTAAGCAGCAGATCATCCATATATAATGGCACAACAATCAGCTCACCTTCAGCTTCTTTAACATAAAGGGTATGCTCATTTGGACTTCTTGCATAGCCTAAACTGTTAAGATGATAATTTATGTGGCTGTACCAAGCCCTAGGTGCCTGTTTTAGGCCATACAATGCCTTCTCCAGCAGGTAACCTTACTTTCTTCACCCTTCACCTGGTAGCCTTCAGGTTGGTCCACAAAAATCTCCTCATCCAAGCAGCCATTTAGAAAGGAAGATTTGACATATTTGACATCAAGTTGGAAAATTTTCCAACCAAATTGGGTTGCCATGGCAAGGATCAACCTTATAGTATCATGTCTAGCCACCAGTGCAAACGTTTCAGTATAATCCACTCTTTGCTGCTGTGCAAATCCTTTTGCCACAAGCCTAGCCTTGTGTTTGTGGATTGTACCATCATGATTAAGCTTCAACTTGAAAATCCACTTCACTTGAATTACCCTTCTATTTTTGGGTCTTTCAACTAGCCTCCAAGTGTTGTTCTTCTCAATCATAAAAATCTCCTCCTGCATTACATTCATCCAAGCATCTGATCCAGCAGCTTCAGCATATGTTTTAGATTCTAACACAACCACATTGCACCTTGCATAAACATCATCCAAAGTCCTTGTCCCACGAACTGATGGTTCTTCATCCTCTTCAGTTTCAGGTTCATCAAATACATCTTCAGTTGGTTCTTATACTTTACAGTCAGCAACAATCTTCTTACTCTCCCAATTCCACACTACATTTTTATCTATCCTCACATCCCTAATTATCACAATTCTCTTTGTCTCAGGAATTTACACTCTGAAGCCTTTTGATTGGCTGCTGTAACCAATGAAAATACCAACCTTTGCCTTATTATCCAGCTTGGTTCTCTTCACTGTTGGAACCATGACATAACACACATTTCCAAACACTCTCAAATAGCCAACTGTTGGTTTAATTCCTGTCCAAGCCTCAGCTAGTGTTTGCCCCTTGACTGCTTTAGGTGGTAGCCTATTTAGGAGATAAACTCCTGTATTGACAACCTCAGCCCAGAATCTCTTAGGAAGTTATTTCTCTGCCATCATATATCTAGCCATCTCCATGATGGTTTTGTTTCTTCTCTCACTTACTCCATTTTGCTATGGAGTGTATGGAGCAATGAATTGATGTCTAATACTTGCTTCTAAACAAAGTGAACTGAATTCCTTTGAAGTGTATTCAGTTCCATTGTCACTTCTAAAGGATTTGATCTTTTTTCTAGCCTCATTTTCTACCAACAATTTAAACTTTTAAACACTCCAGGGACCTCACTTTTCTGCTTTAAAAAATACACTCATGTCATCCGTGTATAATCATCTATGAAGAGTATGAAATACCTACTTCCACTCAAGGATTCTATCTGCATAGGACCACAAACATCTGAATGAATCAGCTGAAGTTTCATTATTGCTCTCTAGGTCTGATCCGAAGGAAATGCAGGTCTGCTCAATTTGCCAATTTGGCATGCATTGCACAGAGTACTTTTCTTCTCAATTTCTGGTAGGTCATGAACCATGTTTTCATTCTTTGACTTTTTGAGGCCATTATAATGATAATGACCAAGCCTTTTGTGCCAAGTTTCTGACTCTTCTAACCTAGTTGATAGAGCCAAATAATTGGTGTTTTTCCACTCAACCGGGAAGCTTTTCCCTAGCATCTTTACACACATCAATTCAACCCCTTTTGGATCTAATATAGTACATGCTTGGTTTTCAAAATGTAAGGAATAACCCCTCTCTAATATTTGTTCCACACTCAATAAATTTTGACTAATCCTAGGCACATACAACACATGAGAGATTATCTTTGTACCTGACCAAGTTTAGACAGCAACGTCCCCCATGCCTTTGACCTCCATGAATTCACCATTTCCTATCCTGACTCTGGAGCTATACGATCTGTCCTGGCTAAAAAAATTTCACAAGTCTACAGCCATGTGATTGGTGTAGCCACTGTCAATTAACCAAGCTTCATTGCTGGTTTGTGCAGTGTAATAAGTGGCCACAAAAAGTTGTTCAGCCTCCTGACATTGTTGCTGATCCTGTCCAACTTTTGCTTGTTGTGTTGGTTGGTTTCCTTTGATCTTAAAAACCCTCTCAATATGCCCAAATTGCTTACAGCTCTTGCACTGTATACCAGGTCTGAACCAGCATCTTCTCTCCGGATGCCCTTTCTTTTTATAGTGAGTGCAGGCTGGAAATTCTTTCACTCCACCAAGCTTTTCCCATTGGTTACTAGTCTTCTCTTTCCCCTTTCTATCTCCAGCATACTTCCTTGTTTGTCCTTGTACAGGTTTGCCTTTGTAGCTTGCAACCATTGCACCCTCATTAGTGTCTTCTTGCCTTAAGAGCCTTCTTTGCTCGTGAGCTTAGAGACATAGACAAGCTCAGTCAATGTGATCTGAGTCATATCTTTAAAGTCCTCTAGAGAAGAGATTTTAGACTCAAATCTCTCTGGGAGACTTACCAAAACCTTTTCCATAACCCTTTGATCTGTCAACTCCACTCCTATTAGCCTGATTTTGTTGATAACAATCATCAGTCTATCAACATCATCCTTTACTTTTTCAGTTTCCTGCATCTTTTGCATCTAAAATTCTCTCCTTAGATTAGCAATTACATATTCCTTGTTGTAGTGCTACCCATGTACTCCTTTCTCAATTTATCCCATGCTTCTTTGGGGTTTTTATATGCCATGATCCTTGTAAATACAAGGTCAGTCACAGCTGCATGTATGTGAGAGAGAGCTCTCGGTGCTTTGGTTGTTTCTTCCTCATGCAACCTCATTTGATTCAACGTAGGATTCTGTCCAAGAGGAGGTGGCTGCTTGTTTTCTTCCATGTACTGCCACAGTCTCTGTCCACGAAGAAAAGCTTTCATTTTTACATCCCAAATGTGGTAATGTTCCCCATTGAATACTAGTGGAGCCATCAAGGCAGATTGAGTTGCCATGTCCCTGTTTTTGTGTCTGTCGCAAGGAAGAAGAAGAACAGATGCAGGTTAACGTTCTGAGAATGTAAGGTATTTTGGAAGTATGATCGATGGTTTAGAATGCTAAGTTTCTGGTTTTTGTAAGCAGCTCTGATACCATTTGTAGGTTTAAGCTAGAGAACACAAAGAGAAAGTTGAAAAACAGAGCTTAGAAATACTTAAGCAAAAAGTTCTATATATTTCATTGAATATATTCAATATAAATCAGTTAACAACTCTCTGCTAATTACACCAACTACAACAGACATTTTCAGCTTTTAAATTCAAATCTAACCACTAATATTACAATCATATTACACATAATAATCTTGACTTAAATACCTTTAAGTCACTAAGCAACAAATCATCACAAAAACACTCCCATGCACGTTAAACCACTTTTGTACGTAACCTTCAGCAGCTTTCCAAACACAAACTTGTAGACTTGAATATTTGATGCATTTCCAGCAAGGTATCACTGCATCAATAGACATCAAGATCCAGTTCCTATCTTCTCAAAATGGTGAAACTGGATTTTCCCAAGTTCAATGGATCAGAGGACCCGACAAGTTGGGTTTATAGGGTTGATCAATTTTTTGATTTCCATCAGACACTGGAGGAGGAGTGTGTTCCCCTCGCCTCATTCAACTTAGAAGAAGATGCGCAGTTATGGTATCAACTTATGAAAGAGGAGCAAGAAATTGTGTCGTGGGAAGCTTTCAAAGAGGGTCTGCATGCAAGGTATGGTCCAACACAATACCAAGATTTCTTTGGCAATTTAACCAAACTCCAGCAAATGGGATCAGTAAAGAATTACCAGACTCAATTTGAACGCTTATTAATTCGGGCGGGGCGACTAACTGGGGAACAACAAGTAGGGTGTTTTGTGAGTGGTCTTTAAGAAAGTATTAAGGTGGATGTACAGGCTGCAAAGTTGAAGACATTGACAGCTGCGATAGGCCTCGCTCGACTCTATGAAGCACATAATCAGTCAACAAAGAGGACAATTTTGTAGGATACCAAAAAATCATATTTGAAAACTAGAGGTGGAAGCAACCTACCAGTGAAAAGATTGACCCTGGCTAAATAAGCAGAATGTTGATCTAAGGGGTTATGCTTTAACTGTAACGAGAAATTTGGTCCTGGTCATCGTTGCAAGAAATTATTTCTCATTAAGGGATCTTGGTCTGACGAGGAAGAGGAGGAGACATCGGCCATTGAGTCTTGCATTCCGAATGAAGAAGTGCCGGAGATATCCATACATGCACTGGCCGGAACGCAGGCTCCTCAAACTGTGCGTCTTCGGGGAAAATGGGCAGGCAATTGGTAACCTTTTTAATTGACTCAGGTAGTACTCATAATTTTCTGAGTAATAAAATCGTACAAAAGTTGGGTTATTAGCCAGTTGTGAGGGGAAGTTCGAAGTAGTAGTTGCTAATGGAGAGAAATTGGTTAGTTAAGGATTGTGCCGAGAGGTTCGAATGATGTTGCAGGGAGTTCCCATTACATTGGATTTGTATTTGCTTCCTCTCAAAGAATATGACGCGGTTTTGGGAACACAATGGTTATCAATGTAGGGGCCTATTATGTGGGATTTTCCAAAGTTGCACATGTCATTTGTGGTGGATGGCAAACAAGTGGTACTGGAGGGATGAAGACACTTGAAAAAAATATAGTGGATGCAGGGAGGTTAGGCAAAGAGTTACAGAAAAATGGGGAGGGGTTTGTACTCCGAATCAACTCATTATCTTTGCTTGATTTAGGTGAGAAGGACGACCGGATTACTAAGGAAGAAATTAACAGCAGACTGAACCAACTTCTGCAGGACTTTGAAAATGTGTTTCGAGAGCCACGAGAACTTCCGCAACCAAGACCCCAAGACCACAGGATTTTGGTAAGGGATGGCAGTGGTCTTGTCTCCATATGACCATACGAATACCCACATTATCAGAAGACGGAAATTGAAAAATTAATTAGAGAATTGCTAAGTTCAGGAGTGATAAGTTCCAAGGTAGAGTTTGTATTCATCACCCGTTTTACTTGTCAAGAAGCATGATGGTGTTGGTTATTGGAGCATGTACCCTAATAGTTACACAGGAGAGGAAAGGAAAAAAGAGATGAGAGAGAGGAAGACTTGTATTCAATAATATTCATACATCAAAAAAGAACAAAGTTTATACATTTTAATCCTACTGTTGTACCTAACATAAAACATATTTTAATCCCAAAATACATCTTGACCATACATCTTTAGCAACTCAAATTACATCACATTAACTTGATATAAAGTAGGCAGCTTAATGTATGTTGAATTCACCAAAAATAATCACTTCAACATGCCTAAACCAGTTTCGGTGAATTGCTCCCAGGCCAACTTTACCACTTCAAATTCTGCTTTTTACCACCAGTTTCCAGCTTCAATTTAACAATAAAAAAGGGTTTGTTTCAAGCAAAATATCATTACTTTGAATAGATGGTTCATGGCGATTATGTGTGGATTACGGAGCTCTCAATTAGTTAACGGTAAAGGATAAGTTTCCCATACCCATCATTGATGAACTGTTGGATGAATTGTATGGGGCAAAATTCTTCACTAAATTGGATTTAAGGTCAGGTCACCGCTAGATTCGGATGTAGCCCAAGGATATAGAAAATACTACTTTTCGCACCCATCAAGTGTACTAAGAATTCCTTGTAATGTCGTTTGGATTGACGAATGCCCCGTCTACTTTTCAATCTTTATGAACTCTAATTTCCAAGATTACCTCCGTAAGTTTATATTAGTTTTTTTTTTTTTTTTTTTTTTTTATGACATATTAATATATAGTAAGTATTGGGAGGACCATTTGAAGCAACTTAAGATTGCCCTATCCATCCTGTGCTCATACCAACTATATGTAAAAAAGGAAAAATGTAGCTTTGGTTAGACTGAGATGAAGTATTTGGGGCACATCATTAGCCATGAGGGTGTCACGGTAGATTCTGAGAAGATTTCGACTATGACAGACTAGCCAATGCCAACAACGCTTAAGGCTACACAGGGTTTTTTGGGGTTGACAAGATATTACTGAAAATTTATACAGAATTACAGTAAAATTACAGCACCTTTAACAAACATGTTGAAGAAGGGATGTTTCAAGTGGGATCGACAACCTTAGGATTCATTTGAAAAATTAAAGAAAGCCATGACTCAAGCTTCGGTTCTTGCTTTGCTGGATTTTTCCAAAACCTTTGTCATAGAGTGTGATGCTTTCGGATCGGAAAGTGGAGGGATATTGATGCAGGAAAAAGACCAATTGCATTCTTTAGTTAGGCTTTGAAGGGAAGTAAATTGTTTGTGTCCACATATGAAAAGGAGATGTTAGCTTTGGTTTGGGTTGTGCAGAAATGGAGACATTACCTCCTTGGGCGTAAATTTATGGTTTTAACTAACCACAAACATTTATAGGAACAAAAAATAGCCACTCTTGCTCAACAAAAATGGCTATTAAAACTCATTGGATATGATATCACCATTGAATATAAGTCATGAAATCAGAATGTGGTGACTGATGCATTGTCTCATAGGGTGGAGAAAGGAAAGCTGTTAGCAGTAACAACACCCGTTCAAAGCTGGTTGGATACTATTAAGGAGAAAGTGTTAAACAACCCAAAGCTAAAAGAGTTGAGGCAAAGTGTACAACAAGGTGAGGCATTAGGATTGTGGACTTATAAAGGGGGAATATTGTGGTTCAAGGAAAGAATTTACTTGGTGGATGATTCTCCCTTGATTCCGATGATAGTAAAAGAAATGCATTCCAACACTCATGAGGGGTTTCACAAGACACTATAATGGATCAAGGTTTTTTTTATTGAAGTAAAATGCGGAAGGGTATTAAGCAATCTATTAGTGAGTACGATACTTGCCAAAGGCACATACAAGAAAATGTGAGATCGGCTGGCCTCCTCTAGCCACTACCAATTTCGAGGGAGGTGTGGAGGAAAATTTCCATGGATTTCATTGAGGGCTTACCAAACTCACATGGTAAGACCACTGTATTTGTGGTTGCAGATAGGTTGTCCAAATTGGGCCATTTCGTGCCTATCAACCATCCTTATACTTCGACTTCCGTTGCCCAAGTATTTTTCGAGAACATATTCAAATTATATGGAATGCCCAAATCTATTATGTGTGACAGAGATCCAGTCTTCACGAGCTCCTTTTGGAAAGAATTGTTTAGATTGCAAGGAACATCCTTAATTTTCCGTCAGCCTACCACCCACAAACTAACGGTCAAACTGAAGTAGTAAACCGGACGCTAGAGATGTAACTTAGGTGTTTCACTAGTGATAAACCTAAGAAGTGAGGTTTGTTGGATTCCTTGGGCGGAATATTGCTACAATACAAGTGTGCATTTAGCAACTCGGAAGACACCTTATGAGGTAGTTTATGGACATACACCTCCCACCCTTTTGTCATATGTACTAGGAACAACCCGAGTGGAATTAGTGGAAAAAGAACTCAAGGATCAAGATCAGATGCTTTCTTGACTCCAATATCAATTGTAGGCAGCTCAGAACCGTTTGAAAATTTTTTATGATGAGGGCCGAGTTGACACGAGCTTTGAAGTAGGGGATTTTGTTTATTTGAGGCTGCAACCATATCGACAAGTTTCGATGGCTTTGCGAAGAACACTCAAGTTGTCACCTCGTTATTATGGGCCTTATGAAATAAGTTAGAAGATTGGAGTGGTGGCTTATAAGCTTCGGTTACCAGAGGGATTCTGGATTCATCAAATCTTTCATGTCTCCCAACTAAAAAACAATTGGGTTCAGAGATTGTTGTTCAGAATGAACTGCTAGTGGCTCCAGGGGTGGAAGATGGAATGTCGGTCGAGCCTCAAATGATCCTAACAATTGTATCTAAAAACAACAGCTGGAGGTTCTGGTGCATTGGAAAGGATCAGTTCCAATTGATGCTACCTAGGAGAATTTAGAGGTTC